CAGTTAAGGGATTTCAAGCAAGTTTTTTTCTACTTCTGTCATTTAAATGACGAATAAAATTGAAAAATCAAGACAATCATTACATTACTTGTCTGATACATTTTTACTGATACCATCATAGAACAACAATATTTTTGTTATTCATTCCAAAGTTGTTCAGATTTTTTTTTTTTTTAATCCATTTTATTGCTTGCGAAACAATTGTAAATCTTTCTTCTGTAACGGTTCTAGTCAAATAAAAGATGAGCCAATTAATGTTAAAGTTAGCAAGAAAATTGAAAGAAGAATAATGAAGTTTTTTCAAAATTGGTATGATACAAAAGACATAATTGGGTAGGTACAGTGTTCAGAATTGGTATGGTATAGTGTTCAAAGTTGGAAGTTAGAACATGTACGGTACAGTATTCAGAATTGATATTATACACTTTTCAGAATTGGTATGATATACTTTTCAGAATTAATATGGTACAGTATTCATTAGTATGATAAAGTGTTCATCATTTGTATGGTACGGTGTTCAGAATTGGTATTGTAAAGTATTCAGAATTGATATAGTACAGTGTTCAGAACAATGTTCAGAATTGGTATGGTACAGTGTTCAGAATGGGTATAGTACAGTGTTCAGAATTTGTATGATACATTGTTCAGAATTGGTATGGTACAGTATTCAGAATTGGTATGGTACAATGTTTGGAATTGGTATGGTACAGTCTTCAGAATTGGTATGGTACAGTCTTCAGAATTGGTATGGTACAGTGTTCAGAATTGGTATGGTACAGTCTTCAGAATTGGTATGGTACAGTCTTCAGAATTGGTATGGTACGGTGTTCAGAATTGGTATGGTACAGTGTTCAGAATTGGTATGGTACAGTGTTCAGAATTGGTATGGTACAGTCTTCAGAATTGGTATGGAACAGTAATCAGAATTGGTATGGTAAAGTGTTTAGAATTGATATGGTACAATGTTCAGAATTGGTATGGTACAGTGTTCAGAATTGATATGGTACAGTGTTCAGAACAATGTCCAGAATTGGTATGGTACGGTGTTCAGAATTTGTATGGTACAATGTTTGGAATTGGTCTGATACAGTATTCAGCATTGCTATGGTAAAATATTCAGAATTAGTATGGTGCAGTGATCAGAATTGGTATGGTACAGTGATCAGAATTCGTTTGGTAGTGATCAGAATTTGTATTATTCAAGGTCTCAGAATTGGTATTATACAAGTTTTCAGAATTGGTATAATTCAATTTTTCAGAATTGGTATAATTCCATTTTTCAGAATTGGTATAATTCAATTTTTCAAAATTGGTATAATTCAATTTTTCAGAATTGGTATTATAAGAGTTTTCGGGAACAGTATAATTCAAGTTTTCTGAATTGGTATGGTGCAAAAATTAATACTGGTATCATAGAGAGTGGTCAGAACCATGGAATAAATCTTATACACGTTTCTTCCAGAACTAATAGACCAACGTGTTTAAACTTGGTAAGTACCGGTAACACATTTACATTTGTTTGATTTTTTGTTTGATACGGTTCTTAAGTCACACCGACACAGTATAGGTCATTCGGCGACGTTCCAGCTTTACTGGTGGAGGAAGACCTCAGGTGCCCTTCCGGGCATTATTTCAGGCACGAACGGGCACCTGAGTAGAAACAACGACGTTCCGTAAGCTAGCTGGATAGCTTCCTCACATGAAAGAATCCGAACTCCCTGTCGGGATTCGAACCTACAGCGGTGAGGGGCAAGTGGTTTGAAGTCAACGACCTTAACCACTCGGCCACGGACGTTTGTCGAGGAGGCGCTTTCTTTTAGCAACAGCATAACTTTATTCTGATATATCTGATTGATTAAGCTGAGGTGAGGAGAAAATGTGAACACAGAATATGTCACAGATGTTGTTGATATACATGTATATATTGATCAGTGTATGATTAACATCAGTGAGTTCAGCAAGCTGTGGTTTCATGTGTCTTTTAAAATATCTCTGTATCAACTTAATACATTTATACATTTTAGCTCTTGAGATTTAAGACAATGAAATTTTATAACGTTTGAAATAACCCTTTGACGAAACTCAAAATCTCTTGGTAATGAATGCAGTGGTGGCAGTGGTGGTGGTGGTGGTAGTTTACCCTCAGGATAACGCAGTTCGGCCACCGCATCATTCCTGGGTAGCCGTTTACCAGTACTTGTTGCCGTTCAAATCGCAAGGAACGGATAACTTCTGTACATGCCAGAGCAGATGTACAATTCGAATGACCGAAGGAAGGATTTCATGATCAATTACTACGAAAGTGACCTGATATTTTACATAACGTCTTAAATGGCGTATCTGTAATCGACCTTGGTTCGATTCCCGGACGGCGAATGTCACTTTCAATGTGATTGATCATGAAATGCAAGATTCGAGTCATGCTGCATGTTATGCGAGCATGCTGCATTCTAAATCTATGCGAGACATGTTGCATGCATGGTTCATGCTAAGTCTATGCGATATGCGAGTCATGTTGCATGCATGGTTCATGCTAAATCTATGCGAGTCATGTTGCATGCATGGTTCATGCTAAATCTATGCGAGTCATGTTGCATGCATGGCTCATGCTAAATCTATGCGAGTCATGTTTCATGCAAAATATATGCGAGCCATGTTGCATGCTTAATCTATGCGAGTCATGTTGAATGTTTAAGCTGCGCTGGACGTTCAGAAAGCTACAGTTTCACGGGGTGTATTGCATGCTTAACAGGGCTCGACATTAACGGTTGTCCGACTGCCCGGGACAACTAAAAGTTTGGTCCGGGCAAGTTATTTTGAAAAGCACTTGTCCGATAGGGCAAGTGAAAATAAAAAGCATCATTGACAAAATGCATGTACAAAATGAATAGAAATAACATCTTTTCATTTATAAACATCTTTAAAACAAAAATACACCATGAATTATTATCAATAATGTGAATATACTACGGTCATGTACATTTGTTGATATAGGAAACGGAAGCAAAAATATGAGCATGCGCCGCGGTAAGGTAATTCTCTGTTCTAATAATAGACTATATCTAATTTTGTACAAGGTAATTCCCGGGTTATGCTGTTGTTTAAATTTTGATGTTTGCATGTAAAGATATCATTGAAAATATGTAGATAGTCATATTGATCTTTAAATATAATTGTTAAATAAAGTTTTTGCATTAAAAATGATTTATTGTTTAATCTAATATAACAACATTATGAACTTAGTAAACGAAGACTCGTTTACGGCTGTTGACTTGATGATTGAACGGGGAATTTCCTTACCGCGGCGCATGCTCATATTTTTCTTTCCGTTTCCTATATCAACAAATGTACATGACCGTAGTATATTCACATTGAATAAACAGATGAACCGATGTTTTAGAAAAACTACTAAATACAAAAAATATTTATGAGCTTGTTTGTTTTTCTGATTTATACATTTTTACCATTTTTAGGTCAGGACAAGTAAGTCGTAGGTCACGGGCAAGTAGTTTTAAAAACTACTTGCCCGACAGGACAACCTGATTCAAAAGTTAATGTCTAGGCCTGGCTTAATCTGTGATTACACTATTATGTGCCTAAGCTTAACAGTCATTTTGCATGCTAAAGTTTTGTGAAATGTTTTACTTGATACAATTGTGTGGGCCATGTAGCATGCTAAAGTAACGTGCTTCAGCTCAGCTGTATGGACCTTGCAGCATGCTTAAGTTGTGCGGGATGTGTTACGTGCTACAGTTGTGTGGGCCTTGTAGCATTCATAAGTTGTGTGGAACGTGTTACGTGCTACAGTTGTGTTGACCTTGTAGCATGCTTAAGTTGTGCGGGATGTGTTACGTGCTACAGTTTGCGTGGGCCTTGTAGCATTCATAAGTTGTGTGGAACGTGTTACGTGCTACAGTTGTGTTGACCTTGTAGCATGCTTAAGTTGTGCGGGATGTGTTACGTGCTACAGTTGCGCGGGCCTTGTAGCATTCATAAGTTGTGTGGAACGTGTTACGTGCTACAGTTGTGTTGACCTTGTAGCATGCTTAAGTTGTGCGGGATGTGTTACGTGCTACAGTTGCGTGGGCCTTGTAGCATTCATAAGTTGTGTGGAACGTGTTACGTGCTACAGTTGTGTTGACCTTGTAGCATGCTTAAGTTGTGCGGGATGTGTTACGTGCTACAGTTGTGTTGACCTTGTAGCATGCTTAAGTTGTGCGGGATGTGTTATGTGCTACAGTTGTGTGGGCCTTGTATCATTCATAAGTTGTGTGGCACTTGTTACGTGCTACAGTTGTGTGGCCCTTGTAGCGTGCTTAAGTTGTGTGGGTTGTGTGTGTTACGTACTACAAACGTGTTGGTCATGTTGCATACAACTATATAGCAGGTGGGTTGTATGATTACATTATTGGGGTGTTGATACATTCTACCGTATTGGGTTTTGTTTCATGTTGACGCGAGTATGGTTTCAATCTTAAGTCATTTCTTGAATATACTGAAGTCGAATCCAGCCACAGTTTTTTTTTCAGGTAGCATCAATATCTATGTTTAAAATTAGTTTGTGTTTGCATAGATTAGTTTTGAAACATTGTAACATATGGTGAAACGGGTCGCAATTAATCGATATAAGGAATGTAAACACGGTCATATAAGTTGGCTTATTAGTTAATCATATTCTGCAAATTCTTCGAGTGTTTCTATCGATTTTATATTCTAAGACAATGTGCAAATTTCAGTTTTAATCTTTTATATTTTTTTATATAATAATTATATCCTTTGGTTTAAAGTTGCATCAACTCTGCAAATGTCATATGACGAGGTGCAACTTCGTGCATTATAAAACATATGAAGACGCCTGAGTAGAACCAAAGACGCTGATAGCTTGATTGCTTCTTCACATGAAAAGTCCCTAATGAGGTTCGAGCCCACAACAGTGATGGACAGTGGTAACAGGTAAATATTTTTTTAAAATGGGTCTTGGGCAACAAATACCAACAACGTTTATAATTTTATCATTTATTACCTCGAGATCAAGGAAGACAACTCGCCAAGGAAGACAATTCGTCATGGAAGACATATAACATACATTTAAATGTATGTTTAAATAATAAATAAGTTTATATGACAAATAATAATCATTAGCTCAACCAATACTAAAGGAACAAAGACATAGTACAATGTTTCCTTTAATCTTTGGTGAATTATAAAATGTGATATTTGCATAGTACTTGAAAAACAATGTATGACATTCCAATTTTAATGAAAAAATATATTTCAACAAAATAATAAAATATCATCAATGCCATTTAAATCAAAATGCAAATCAGTAGATTCCTAAGCAAGCTTGTAAAAGTGCTATATTTTCAAACTTTCAGTCTTTATCTATACAGGAAATGACGTCATGTCTACAACAGAGGAAGTTACGTAATCTAATTTTTAATGCGTACAAATATAACTGTTACATGAGAATAACCCATATATATAAATTTCTTCAATAAAGCAAGACAAATCGAATTGCAACAGTATGCTTTTCAAGAACTATAGAATAAGTTACTAAGTTACTAAGCCATTTTAATACATTATATTTAAAGATACATGTATATATAAAAAGTCAACCCATAAAATGAGACGTTTACAAACATAGTCTTTAAATAATGAACAACATATAAAAAGAAATTATCCCCTAAAAAAATTTTTAAATGTCACTTCGAAGTAACTTTATAAACCAAAAATTTTACCTACTGTCTTTCCCCAAAAAACAATTGCAATTCATTGTCAAACAATTTAATACTGTCCATTTTATGAGATAAAAGAAAATTTAAGAAATGATATTTTGTTACAAGATACATCGAAAATCATATCTTTACATGGTTTCGGTTCATTAAGTGTTAAAACGAAAAAAGAATTAAAGCTTTCGTTGCAAAATAGAAAGTAACGTTTTTTTTACTATTAAAACTTCTTAAAAAGCATTTCTATAATATTTTAGTTAAATTAAATTATGTTTTTGAAATGAAGTACATATAAGGTAGATTAAAGAATCCGATAATAATAATAATAATAATAATAAAAACACAAGACTTTGAAATCCCACTATTTTCTTGAGCTAGCTTGCCACATTTTTATGAACACATAAATAAAAAACATAGTACATTTATTATCTTTAAACATCAATTAATATATCATCAACTGACCAATGTATTTACACGCACACAAAATAATAATAAAATAAAATAAAAACAAAATAAAAATATATGAATGAACACAAAAATTATCACATTGCACTTTTGTAGACCTCCGACCAAATTGTTCAAACTCCACAAATATTTTTTTTTAATCATCTAAGTCAACGTCACTACAATCTTGTCCGTCCAAAAGTTGTTCCGATTTTCTTTGAATTTCTAATAATTTAACATTGTCAGGTTCCTTTCCGTCAGAAACATCTTTCATGAATGCTATATAAGTCATAGCCAGTCTAAGAGTTTCGATTCTCGATAGTCTTTTCTCGTAATTAAATGCTGGAAGACGTTTTCTTAACTCGTCAAACGCTTCGTTTAAATGAAACATACGTCGGCGTTCTCTAACGTTAGCGGCTTTACGTTGCATTACTGATTGTACGCGTTTACGTTTAGGTTTCTGTCCATTACTTGTGCTCGTCGAGCTATTCGAACCGCTACTACTGGCTGGTGAAACTGAGCTGTACGCGGAGTGATAGTAGTTCTCGTGCGTTGGATACGGCACGTGCGATAACGGGGTAGAGAACGACATTTCAGTGGCTGGAATGTATGTTGGCGTCGACATTAAACCCACATCACCATGATGAACGCCTGGATATCCCATATAAGAACTGTATGATCCGTCAATGCTTTCTGGTAAATGGTACATTGATCGAGCCCCACTTCCGGCGTCTGGGGCTTGAGTCCAGTCGTATTCATGGTATTGTAGTCCGCCGTTTGTTAACGTATCTGGTGCTTGAACAGGATATGATGTGAACCCCATATCGTACCGGAAGTCTGACGGTTGCTCGTTTTGTTCAGCGGTTAAACTCGCCATGTCTTCCGATCTTTTTTATTATATTTTCTTAAGTCTATTCATAAATGTTTAAACACGTTTTTATTTTTATTTTCAATGTCTATTTGTCTCCTTTTTAAATCTGTTCCTCTAATTTTTTTAACACAGAAGTGGTTTTAATGTTACTCTCCACGTTTTTCTTTACTTGTGTGAAATATTTATTATAATTTCATCCGGCTAAATCATATACAAGTGCCTCTTTCATATCATATCACCTGAATTGATATCATTTATATACATAACCAGACGAAAGTACCTGCGTTTGACAAACAGCATCATACGTTGCGGCGACAGGTAAATCGACACCCATTGGCTGATACGTTGTACATAAAGTGTCGCCCATGCGCGTTAAGTGTCAAGTCGCGTGTTGTGGGCGGGGTTAAATATTGTCGCGCGCAGGCACACGACCGGCATTCAACAAGGGGATGGTTGTCTCATATCGGTAATTTCAGCGAAATAACAGGTAATTTGAGTAGATTATTGGCTACCAGGATTTCAAAAGACACTCTATGTATTCTTCTAACTTAAAATGCAAACATCAGTTGTTAATAAACGATTCATTTATCTACAGAACGGGCTGTTAAAATTTTCGCCCGTAAAATGCGCCATGATTTTGTATTCATTCTTATAAAAAAGGCAAAATTCCGCTTATATTTCGCGTTTCTGTTCTTGTTTTGCATGCTTTATATACGGAAAAAGAATCACTGAAAACATTAAATACAAACATTTTAACTGAAGATTCCCAAATCGTATTTAGAAATCTAAAATCGTGAAAAAAATATTTCAACGCTTTGTATAAAAGTGCATAATTTGATAGCATTTATTTATTTATTTATTTATTTATTTAATATATCTAAAATCATATTTTAAGTTAACACGCTCTATGAAACAACTACATTTATGTAAAAGTAGTAGCCACCACTAAAAAATGAAAAATAGACAACATTATTTACACAAATAGATATTCCTTTAGTTTGATATTTAGAGGCAGGTTTTGTTTTCGCATTTGTCTTTAAACTTTAAAATTTTACACGAGCGCTGAAAAAAATGTTAAGAGGTAGAATATGTTATAAAGAAGCTACCAAAAAAATGCCGTGACAACTGAAATAATAACTGTTAAAAAAGATTCTGCTAAATGAATTAGCAAAATACATGTACGTTGTATATAAAGTTTTTTTTTAATGTAACGGGAGTTAGAAGAGAATTGTCTTTGTGGCTTTAATATATTCTTGTTAATTTAACTTAAAAATAGACTTAAAAATTAAATAAAATTAACTGATATGCTGACAATGCTTATTACAGTAACAGTACAGAACAGAACTTTTATTTTCTAGACTTATACAAAAGTACATCGCCTTGTTAACATGCAGTGAATACATATAAACAACATAATCACATAAATATATGTATGGCAAGTGATTATAATAAATATAAACTTACCAACTTCATAAGGGGATGAACTACAATTGAGAGTTCGAAATTGAATTTCTTAGTTTTAAAGCTTCTTTAATAAAATTTGTTAACATTTATTAATATTTTTCTATTATAGGATATTTCTAAACCGAAAGTTTAACTGGTCAGGTCTCGAAATTATGACCGACTCGATACAAGACTACTTCTCACAGTTGATTTCTAGTCCTAACGACTATGTCGAGGTCATGTGGCAATTATCCAGCTTTGATGGTGGAGGAAGACCTCAGGTGTCATTCGTACATTTTTTCAGGCACGAAAGGGCATCTGAATAGATCCACCTACTTTCCATAAGCTACCTTGATAGCTTCCTACAATGAATGAATCCAAACTGCCCGTCGAGATTCAAGCCTAGTGAGGGGGCAAGTGGTTCGAAGTCAGCGACCTTAACCATCCCGCCCATGGAGGTCCATTGACAATTTGTTTATATAGTTGTTAGAGATTAGTTCAATTATGGTAACATAATTTGACCTTACCAGGTTACAAATGTAGTGTAATTTGGGGGAAAAAAAATAAGTTTGATTTGAACGTCGGTTTGATTCCACCCACCTTTTTATGTGCGCATCTATAAAGTTGAAACATCACGCCAATAACTGTGTTAAATGAAATCATCCACTTATCTTAAAATCAGTATAAATAAAGTGATAGAAAAATGACTGGATTTTTAAACATTAATTTTCTAGTTAGCACGTGCCAGTTCGGATCTTTTTATAAAGAGAAAATTATCAATAAAAAATTAGCACCGTTTATTCAGTTGCAATTGGACTTTCTCCCTTAGTTTTACGGCGGGGTTAAATTTCCGGTAAAAAAACTGCAAAACATTCGGTGCTTCCGTTCTGTTTAAAATAAAGTGGAGAGGTTTCGAACCGGAAGGTCCATGCCGTGTACTGCTATTATTTAACACCACCGTAGGTATTATAACAACTTTTATAAGGAGAGCGCAGCGGTGAAAACAACATGGAAAATAATTATGGGTGTACTACCTGTAACTACCTGTAGTCAATTTGAATCCCTTTATCACGTGATCATAAATAATATGTTACCTTAATAAGGGAATTTGTTGTTGTTGTGGTTGTTTCTCTTCGGGGGGGGGGGGGTTGTTGTTGTTTCTTTTTTTCTTTTTTTTTTATGGTGAGAGGGATTTTTGGTTTGGGTTTTTGTTGTTGTTTTTGTTTTGCTTCTATTGTGGGGGAAGGGGTAATTTTTGTTTTATTTTTATATCTATTTTTTTTCTTCTATTTTTTTTTATTTATTTATTTATTTATTTATTATCTCTTTTATGACGGGGTATTTGGGGTTTGAGGGTATTTGTTGTTTTTTGGGTTTTTTTTTGTTTTGTTGTTATTCTTTCTTTTTTCTCTCAACTTATAATCGTAAAATAAATGTTTTGATTTCTATAGGTACATAGATTAAAAACCAATAGTGTCATAAATTGTACTAGTTATCAATTAGTTATTAATGCATGAATATTCATTAGCTAATGACTGACTATACATGTATTATATCTGAATCAGAGCTGTCACTGGTGGCTGACAATTGAACGTGGTTTGTTTATTTAGCCTGACACCTAGACCTATGTTTGATACACTAAAATAGACAGAAAACAAACAAACATTAGTGTCAATTCTGGGTCGTGTGATTTGGCGGCCGGACCTTTATGTATTCATCCGCGTAGCCTTTTAATAGATCAACTCTTCTTTAACAAGTACGATATAGACTCCGGACGGATTTAAATTTGTGTATATAATACTAAAAACCTATTAAATGATAGGTAGAAGTTAAATTCAAGACATCTATATTGCACGTGCTAAAAGAAAATTTTTAAATTAATCGATGAAGCGTCTTTATGGAAAAAAAACAAAAGTTATTATATCATTGCTGCATTTCGATAGTACCTTGATTAAAGGCTCATTATGTTCAATAAATGCTTTATTTTTATTTCTCAAAAGCATCCTATTTTTTTTTATTATTATCTTTTTGCTGGTCTGATATAGCTTCCAAAAAGATGCTCATCTTTCTGGACAATCTTGTGCTCCTGTTGCATTTTCACAATTTTAATACTTAAAGTGGTATAGTATTTTATATCGGAGCTAAATGATTTTTTTTCCTTTTTTGCTAATTTTATCACAAATATTTTCTCCAGTTGATAAGCAGCCAAGATTTATTAAAGAAATGCTCATTTCTGTCCTTTCTAAAGAAGGAAAAGTTCATTTGTTTCCGAGGCATAATGAGCCTTTAACTGCATTAAACTTGAAGTATCAAAATGAGCAATTTCCCCCCTTTTTATTTCATCAAGAAGTTATGAAATATAATATGTAGAATATTTTTTTAAACATCGAAATTGAGGGGTCCTTAAATATTTAACAACGTTTTACAATTTCAGAAGAAAAAATTTAAAGCATTTTTATTCAAGTTTTTGAAATTGCAAAAATACAAAAGTGAATTATGCTTCGTCCGTTTTTATACAGCTAAACATTTTTTATGACCATTTGTCACTTTTTTATGACCCCCTACTTAGTAAAGTTATTTTTCAATTTAGAAGTATATAAATTGGTATAAGTGATATTTATAGCGTCCGATGTAATGTATAAAATAACTTTTGATATACAAACTGACATATATTTTACATTACTTTTTATATGTAATCACTGGCCCAAAACTGTACCAAGATAGCCGTCTCGCAACCCGGGTACGGGCAGGTCGGCGAACTAGTAAAATGTTACAACTTGGCCCAATTGTGATTGCTCGTGTTTGATAACTATGATAGATATATATTATAATTGTATAAAAATAAATAAGGTATATATAATGTTATATATGATAGGTTTTTACCGATCTCTAATGGATGGACGCTGGTCAATCCGGTGGGAATAAACTTCAAAATGAGTTATATGTATATACAGCGTGCAATCCCGGGAAATTACGGACCAAAATTATTGCTCTTTAATTCGATTCTCAAACAAACCAAAAGATCTATTCAAAATAGAGGGGAAAATCATCATGCCTTGCAGCTTAAATTGATTCTCAAACAAAATAAAGAAAGATATGTTCAAAATAGTAACAAATTCATCTTTTCTAATGCAGTACAGCTTAAGGAACCGTGTGTTATCTGTGTCATTGACAGTAAACAAAAAAGATAACATTCCACTTAAGATTAAAGGGACTCCACTGAGGTATTTTGACATGACGGGACTGGAATATTTTTTCAAGATTATTGTTTCATTTACATGTAATGTAGTTCTATAGACTGATAACTTATATGCATAATTTCAGATTATTTACTCACTCCGTTTTTCCAGAATGATAATTATTATTGTGAAAATTACCCAAAATTGAAAAGCGGTGCGACGCTAAAAGTCATCGCGTAGCGAATTGCTAGATTTTGTGCTAAAACAAAAGCCACCGCATTCTTAAAGCCGTGCTGGGACACCAGGAATGTACGAACATGGCATTGGCTACAAAGAAATAAATGTCAAAAACGATAATATAGATTGTCAAAACATCTTTCTATAAATGTTAAAGGAACCAAGTGTGGTTTATTTAACATAAAAACTTAATATTTCATAAGCGGTTTTAATAATAAGCACGTGGTCTGAGCGTTTGATATATTTCTTTCAGCTGCGCAAGCGACCATTTGTGTCTTGATTGATTTAAATATTATACTAGGATCAGAGGGCTAAACAAGTCATACTTATATTCGAACAGGGCACTAAATACTATTCTATACTGTAAGTACCAAGATAAATTTCATTTGTCTTCAAGGG